GAGAAACTTTCGTTCCGTGTTCGAAACTACCTCTTTCTCTCTCTCTCTCTCTCTCTTTCTCCCGTGCAATCTACAACTCTCTAACAATGTTGTAATAACGGATTATTCGTTGCCCGTTGCGTCGATTAAGCGCACCGACGTCCGAACCGAGAATTTGCCACTTGTTCCGTTCATATAACAGCGCAGAAACGACGGCGGTGGGGAAAAAGAAAACACCTAGACGCGCGTGTTTCGGCGTCTTCGGCGCCCGAAGTGGCGAATTCCAGCGAAATCCTGGCCGAAACCTCTCCGAGTCGTACATATGCGGGAAAGAAAGCAGTCAAAAGTTGGGATTTCATTGAAATTCGCCACTGTGCGACGTCCAGTTCCCTCGCCAATGTTCCGCGCGAAAGTGCGTGGAAAGCGGCCGCGTGTAAGGCCGAGATGGAGATTCTCCGTTGTGAGGGTGAAATAATGCGAGTCCTCCTTTTCTTAAATCTATTACCGTTTCCGTGAACGTCGCGCGACTCGGCGGCGAAACTTAGTAAACATAATGGAATTAATTCCGAGTGCCGGCAATATGGCGTTCGCTCACGCCAGACGTCGGCGCTCGCGAGAAAAAGGAGAGAGAGAGAGAGAGACGGGCGAAGAGGAGGGCGAGAACGATGAGAATCAGAAGCAACGAGACGGTTAAAACGCAATCAGGATTGGCGGGCATCGTGAATAACAATGATACGGAACTAATCTAAGCGGGTGCTCGCTCGCGTCGTGTTTCCCGAGCTGGAGATCAGGTTGCAATTTTAAGTGTCGCGCCGATGTTGCGTCGGACCTGATTAAATTGCGTTTCCGGCGGCCGCGCGAGCGCGCTATCGTGAATAACAATGAAACGACAGCGGCACCGGGGACATGGCACATTTTTCCCCCCGGCGCGAGCCTCGAGGAATCGCTCCCGTCCATTTTCCAGAGCCATTTTCATCTGATTACGCGCGCGCTTATACAGAGGACGCGGCGTGAAAGAGAATCCCCCTGCCTACGCACGTACCTGCCCGCCTATCTATCCGCCGCCCGGTGTTGTCGACCGCGACTTCATCCCCCGGTGCGAAATTACAAAAGTGACGTCGACAGGCGTCGAACGCACGCTTCATTATTTTTTAATTATTCTCGCGTGCGACGTCGCGCGCAACGCGCAACCAAGTTTCATTGTTGATTTGCCAGCAAATTGAGAGATCCTTTGTTTAATCGGGGTTTTTTTCTTTTTTCTCTTTTTTTCTTTACACGTGATGACATTACAGGCGTACTTTTTACGCGCCGGGTCGACGGTTTAAGGCTAACGGACGACGGGGAAAATTGCGCGAGATATTACGCAGAGCGCACGCAACTGTTAACCGCACCTGCACACCCCGAAACTTTAAACCGCATTTTCTTGGTGCCGCGTCGCCGCGCCGAATCGAGAACTCGAGAACTCCCGGCGCTCGGACGGAGATTTGCGGAGAATTGTCATTTCGAGGGGACATGAATCGCGCGGAATCGTGCGGAGATTAGCGCTATAAATAGCGCCTTTTATTTCGCAATACGAGCCGCGCGTCCGCATTGACATTTCCGAGACACTCTGGAGGAAAATCCAACGCATTTCAGATTTATCGCAACACATCGAATTAAATTTATCGACTTTGACAATTTTTTTTCGTTTATTTTTTGACGTTTCTCTTTCCTCCCTCCCGGGGATATATATATACAGCGCGCCAGTGAATCACAATAAAGCAAACCTTTGTTTATCGCCACTTTTTGCCACTGACAGAATTTATAATTCCAATAGAATTTTCCAAACATTCCTTGGGACAGATGCGTCCCAGCGGCGGTCGACGGATTAATGGGAGAGACGGCAGGAATTGTTATAAACAAAACCGAAGCCATTTTTCACAATTTCGAAAATTTGAGCTTTTCATTGGCCGTCATTTCGCCAATTTCGCTTCCACATAAATTTCCGTGACTCACGCTGAAACTACATGGAGATAGACGATGTACCCGCGACGATCCCCTCTTTTTTTTTTTTTTTTATACCGCTGATTCAGCTAGTAAAAATGCCTATCGCGTTTACGCCGGTAAAAAGAAAGAGGGGGCGGGGGGACTTTGCTCCTCAACGGATCGTAATTTGTCTGGTGTCTTCTCGCTTACGGATAAGCGCTATCAAGACGCGCGACTATGAATATATCCGAAGTCGTGCGCGAAGGGGGAGAATTTGTATCGTAAAAATACGAAAGAGACGCGCGTAACCTTTACCGCCGCACCGTGAGAGGGATGAGATTAAAAGGAAGCTCGATGATCTATAAATAATTTTGCACACGATATAGAGACGCGTGCTCGCGTCGGTGGACACGCTTTTAGACGCGTAATACGTGGTAGGAAAACGGATCAATATGTAGCCGCGCGTACCATTATCTATGAAAACTCATTTCAGAGGAAGAGAGAGAACGGACGAGCGAGCTGAATGCACACACTTCCAATAAGTACGAAACGAAGCGAGATTGTGCGGAGCCCGACACTATTTCCCGTAAGAGGAATTACCTTCGTCCGTATCCGATACAAGCCACTGGTTACCCTCGTTACATGGCTCTCTCTCTCTCTCTTTTCCTCTTGATTACGTCGCCGGCCCGTCCGTTCCATAATTCCAGCCAGGTAGCACAAATATTGGCGCGATAGTCAGCAATAGCAATCTGCAAATATTACGCCGATATCGGCGATAAAATGTCGATATTTCCGTGCATCACGTCAGCGCGTCCGTTCTCTCCTACGTATATGTATTTACCTACAATTAGTGTTTCGTTGGGCGAGCGCGTATAAAAATACGTCCGCGTCGCGTTTGCCAAGGTACGAGGCCGGCGATTTATCTCATATTCAACGTTTCGTATTGTTATGCGCGAGGATGCTGAGTGCAAACGGTGATTCGGCCGCGATAACCGGGCTTTTAACTCGCGATGATTGTCGCGATGTTCTCGGCGCGATCTCGCGGCGCGCTTCATCGATGAACGCTGCATCATCGGTGCACGCGACAAAATGTAATCTCATGCCGTCGTATTTAAAGAATCGCACGTTTGTATTCTTTATAGAAGAATCAACGAAAATTCGAATAACGATTGTGATAAAAAGTGCAGATATTCTTTCGGTATTCGCAATTTTCGAGGAACACTTTTAACGCGAGTGTAAGCAATATCGCTTTCAAGGAAAATCCCGGCTTACGCGGAGTATATGCTGTACCAATGACCGATAATTATTTTGGCGATTAATTCTGAATACATTACATTAAATAATAAATAGACTTCTAATCGCGCGTCTGCGTGCCTCATGCATGCTGTATTCTGAAACGAATAAATAATTTATCGCGCTTTATCGACGGGAGAACGGTTCGCAGCATGAAATAAATGAACAATTTACTGGGCAATATTTCGTGCTATTTTCGCTGCATGTGTATATTTGAAAATAAACGTATCCCTTAATACTACAAAAATTGCATCTATTTCCACGGAAACGTTGAAAAATCGATTAGGTATTCACAAAGTTTACGCGAAGCTGCGTCGTACAAAACGAAGATCACCTCATGCATCGGGCGTGAATAATCTCACGCTTGTTTCTGTGTAGTTATAATTCAAGCAACATTTCATTATGATAATGACGATAGTAATTATTACTATAAATTTATCATTATTGTAATTATTATACGAAAAATATTCGGGAGATTTAACGATACAAATATAACATTCCTACGTGTCGATTTCCAGACCAATTTTTCTCTCTCTCTCTCTCTCGTACGAGTTATCGATCGCTATTACTTTGCGAGCCAGCGTGCGGATAAAACGCCATTAATAATCCAACACCCTCCACATTTACAGGAAATAAGGCATGTATAGTTTAAACATTCTAAAGCCGGCTCGCGATAACAGGCGAAACGTTGAAAAAATGATGTACGAGAAGACCCGTCGGGTTACGCTATAACCGTGTTTACTTTCGCGCACACTTCATTTCGATATCGAAGAAGAGAGAGAGAGAGAGGAGGGAAGAGAGAAATAGAATGAAAGAAAGAAATAGTGAGAGGAAGAGAGAAATAGAATGAAAGAAAGAAATAGTGAGAGGGAGAGAGAAAAAGTGAGAGAGAGAGAGAGAGAGAAAGCCTCGTTGCAGGGTCCCCGCCGCCGTGTAATCTCGTTTTTAATTTTTCAATCACTTTGATCGTTCGTTCCCGTCGTGTATTTCGGCCGTTATACGGCCCGTATTTATTGGTTCTCTTTTATTTGCCGCGGCGACCTATAACTCGCAGTTATCGAACGCGCGACGTCGCCACCGAGGTCCCCTGGTTTTTGTTCGTTTGGCATACCGGCCACCGAAGGAACTCTCGGGTATCGGCTAATTTAAAAGTTCCCGGGAAACTCGTCTACCCGCTTAGTAGCCCCGCTTTCTCTCTCTCTCTCTCTCTAAAGCTCGCTGCACCGTGTATACGATCCTCGGCGTGTCCACAGTGGCTTCCGGACCACGCGAGCGCGCTTTCCTCGCCTCCGCCGGTCACTTCGCGCCCGTTTTTCGACCCTAAACGATAGTTACGACTGAGCCTCGCGCCAGGAAGTTATTAGGTTCTTACTCTTCCGGCTTGCGCGCAATGAACTGCATTATCCCCGTAATGCGGTCGTTTCGGCTTCCGTTGAGGCCGCGTGCTTTCGAAATTAGCGATTATACGGCTCAGTTTGTAGTCGTAATCATGAGCGACACGTACACGGCAACGATAATAATAATTATAATTATAGTGACAGTAATAATAAGAATGTGATAATATTAAGGAAACAATATTAGATATCGGTGCGCGATATGTCGAAGGAATAGACCGAAAAGACCGATGAAAGATGAGACTCGGCTAATAAGCCGCTCTTCTCACGGGCTGAAATTAATATCTTCGGAGTATTACATTACATTGAACAAAGTGTTGCAAAATTAACAAAAGCTATCTTCCAACCAGCCTGTCTTATTTGTTGCAGGCAAGCCGCAGCCCATGGTCAGATGGCTCAAAAATGGCGGAGTGAAAGACGAGGAGTACGAAAATAATGCCGGGGATGTGATCGAGAATAGGTAAATCGACTTTTCCGCCGATATCCCCCCTTATAACTTCGTGCGTAATTAGTGTGTAGAAAACCCATCTTCAATGCAATCACTTACCCATCTCTGCACCGTAAATGTATCTAATTAATTTCTACCGTTTTCTCAACGTTAACAGATTAACGTTGCAACCTATCACCCGGTCCGATCTCGGCTCGAATTTTACCTGTCAAGCGCGCAACACGGACTTGGTGGACGCGAAGGAAACGTCGATTTCTCTGGACCTCAATCGTAAGTAAATCTAAATCCCTCGGATATTGATTCGAATGGAGAAAAATTCGCGACGCGGATGTAGAAGGAAGAGTGTTCTCGCGCGGGATGACCTGGTCGTCGCGGACGCTACTCTCCCGCGGAAAAATCGAATATTTTGATTGGGAGCGCCGATGAAGGAGCGAAAGAGAAATACAAATTCTTATCACGCGGCCNGGGGCCCCCCCCCCCCCCCCCCCTCCTCGAGCCTATCTTGTCTCGCATTAACGATAAGATCTACGAGACACCAAAAGTGGGCCAACATCCTTTGCTCCCTCACCGCCGCCTCGAGTCGCCTTTAAGGGAAGATAAGGCGAGATAAGACGAGAAATATATTAAATCCACCCTCCGGCCCCGTCCGTCCGGTTCGCGTTCGCCCTTGCTCGAGGAGGAGCGCCGAAGAGCTATGAAAAGCGGACTATCCTCTAGGCCCTCCCGAAATTAGAATTCTTCGTTAATTCACCGGTGCCCGTCCGCGGGAGGTTACGAGGGGAGGGGTGGAGCGCGGTGGAGCGCGGTTGAAAAGGTGGCGGGATCCTAATTTCGGTAGTAAACCGAAAAATCGACCAGCGGAGTCTTATCTAGTCCGTACCGGGCTAAAAGCTAAATGCGACAGAGAGAGAGAGAGAGAGAAGACGGAGAGACGTTCGCGACAGATCCGGAACACGATGGGGTTCGTATCGCGAGTGCCGATTCGCTACCGTTTCCGACGAGTTTGCCCTTCTTCTTACTCTCTTTTTTCTTTCTCCCGTCGCGCACTCCGATCACTATCGTCGATGACTCGATCGCCGGCCCTTGAGATTCGATTGCACCGTTATTCGTTATCCGACGTTCTCTCGCACGAGGGGTGCCATCGGTCTTGCTCTTTTTACACGTACGTTATGGAAACGGGAATTTCGCTTTTTCCCATCGAGAACCGTGGGAGAGAGCGACACGCACACAGAGGCGATCGGTGATCGATTTAGGTGCGATAATCAGGCCTCCCGAAAATCACAGAGTTCTCGTCGGGGGCTGCTAACGAAATGGACCGGCCGGTTATATCGACGAGCGAGGGGCGCCGTCATAGCGACGAGTGAAAAAAAATTCTAGATTGATGCGCTCGGAGAGGGAAAAAGCGAGAGCCAGAGCGGAGAACGGGAATTATAACGGGGAGAGCGAACGGCAGAGAACGAAGATTTAACCCGGGCGGAACCGCAACGAACGCGAACGCGCTCTCTTCGGTTTTGTTACTTCGACAAAGTGTCGGCGCATCCGATGCGTAAATAAAAACTAAAACCGAAGTTATCAACGACGGAGTTGAGAAAGTCTCTCTTTCTCTCTCTCTCTCTTTTTCTGCGCTCTCGGCGCTTCAGGGCGTAGTATCAATCGCGAGATTGCCGCATCGACGGGCGCATCAGCGACGCAGCTTATTAACTTTGAAGGTTGATCAAACTTATTGAACATTACCCGAGCGAAATTATTAGTTCGACAATATCATGGCTGCCGTTTACATCGCGTCATAGTCCACATTGTATTTCCGCGCGCTTCTCGCGTAGAGACCGTCAGCTTGAAAATCCGTCCGCGAGCGCGCAACTTACGCGAATGACGTGTGCGCCCCGATCGCGCTTCGATCGGCGCTGTGAATAAAGTATTTGGCGTATAAATATGTCGCGATAATAACGCGAAAAAGAGCGATACGTGGTATTACGCGTAATCACCGGCGCGGATATTTTAAATGTACGGCGACGGGTGAATTAATTAATTCGGCCAAATTGGATCTCCCACATCGTTAATCTTCTCATTTGAAATATATATTTATATATATATATATATTTCTAAAATTGTTAATTGTAATACGCTCCTCCGCGCTTTGTTCAACAAAGGAATAACACGAGGCAATATTCCTTTCGGTATTTTCATTAATTCAATATATGCCACCACGTGTAGTCGTGTATCGAGTATAAATATTTATCTCGATCAAAGTTTCAAATGCCGATCGACCAGGTCGCCGCAAATTTCAGGATTGCGAGCGACGCCTCGCCTCGACGCGTCGCGCGCGTGTCGCATTCCGCGAGCGTTACGTAACATCGCGTTACGCATCGCGCGTGTGCGCACCGTAATCGAAGACNAAAAACCCCCCCCCCCCCCCCCCCTTTACCGAGACCGCATTACCGACAGAATCCAATTTTTGTTGTCTAACGTGTAACGTTCCACGGAGTGTAAAACTACTGTCGTTTATTTGCATAAGCCAGCAAGGACTCTCGGCAGGAATTTTAATTTGCTTGAATGTTCGCGCGAGCGATCTTTCCCGTTTTCCTCGTTTATTTCCGTTAATATTGACATATTTTCTACAATTTTATCTTTGCACATCCTCATCTTTTACTGAGGTTAAACTTGAAAAGAAATTTGCCAATTTTCGCCGCAAATCGTCGCAAACTTCAACCAAATCTAACAAATCGTTAATAGGGGCGCGATATGTTATATTCTGTGAGTCGATTATTACAACTCGATATTAGATCTTACATTCGGTAACTGGGAGCTCGGTGATATGCTCATTGTACTTTTTAGAAGACTCGATCATTTACGCAACAATACCTTTTTTTCTCCAATAATAAGAGAAGAACTCTCAATTAGGCGATATAAACACCCGTGAAATTTGAAGGTTGCAATTCATATTTAAACGTTGACGTGAAATAATATGGACATCTGAGAATAATAAAATAATCTTTCCGCTGATGCATTCAATCATCTCGGGATATAGTTCTTTTTCCTTTTAACCTCGGTAACAGGATGTTCCACCCTACCCACGCGAGTCCGCACGAGAGACGGTCCGCGCTAATTGTTCTCGATCGCGTGAATTTACAGTGAAACCCCTGACTGTGACCATAAGGAGGCCGGGGAGGAAGGGGATCGGTAACGAGTCGCTGTTGGCGGGCAAGCGATACGACATGGAGTGCGAGACTACCGGTTCAAGGCCGCCCGCGGTGATAACCTGGTACAAAGGCCGCAGAAGACAGCTGAAGCACACGACGGTAAGGGAGAAAAATAAGAAGTAAAGTAGCAGCGGGAGTGCGTACGAGCGCAAGCGCGATCCTCGACCTAGAAGCACCCCGGCTCCTTATCTCCCCGCGGCTTACCATGGGATCCCGTGGGCTTTTATCCCCGGGCACAAAAGCCGCCCCTCCCCCCCTCCGTTGCCGCGTAACCTCTCTTCCACGGTTTGTCGCTCTCATTTTTAGCCGGGCGCGCGAAACGCTGAGGCCGCGCCGGCCGGTCGGTCTCGCGGTAATCCCGAGAGCGCGAACTTCCTCTCTCTCTTTCTCTCGCTGTTCCCGTCCTCGTTCCTCCCGCTCTCGGCTGCGTGCTCCCGATTAATCACACAGCCTATATTCGCTAATACGCTGTTTTAACGCGATTCGATATGTGCGTAATTCCCGTGGCGCATGGGGGCATGTAATTAACGGCTAAGCTGCTTATTATCCTCCTGCAGTCCGGGGTCCTCGGTCGTTAATTAATCGCCACCGCTGCTGCCAACCGTTGCTACCGAATGGGGAGTTGAAAAAAACGACGGGGAGCGAAGGTAACGCGATAACGCGTCGTCTGGCTCGATTTCAAACGTTTGAAACTTTCATTTGTGAGACTTGGCGACTCTACCCGGCCGGCCGGTCGGTCGGACGGACGTTAGCTGTACAGTAGATACGTGCAGCCGCGATCAGACCGGAATTCTTACGCGCTTATCGGGCCGCTCGCCTTCCCCGGTCGAATCGACGAGAGATCGGCACGAGCGCACGAGTCAAGTTTTAATTAATTGGATTTGTGTTACGAGCGCGCGTCACGGAGAATGAAAAATTCCGACCGTAACTAAGTTCCGGCCCACTCGAAATTTTACCCACGCGGTTTCTGATCTCGCCGCTTTAATTGCGCGAGATCCTATTTCCATAATAACGAATCTCATCTCGCGGCTACGAGCGTACGTAGCGCCGAAAGAATCGGTAGCTCAAAATTAATATCTCTCGCGGCCGAGAGTCGGGGAGCGCGAATTTGAATATCTCGGAATTAAGGCCGCGAAGAATTCGGTGGAGAATTAAGGGGGAAGCGCGAAGGCGGGCCCTTCCGACCGAATGATCAATAACTGATATCCGTGCGCACCTCCGCGATAAAGGAAAAGAAAGATAGAGAAGGAAAAAGAGGAACGTCATCGAAGAAAGACTCGATAAGTGCGCGTAGCGCGGAACGGTCGACGGCGGTATCCTCTCCTCGAAATTGCCACTTGTTCGCGCGACGGCAATTGCCCTCGCATTCGAATCAGCTTTGGGTAACGAGATCATCGATATTAAGAGAAGACGACCGCCGCCAGCGAACCACCACGACGAGTATTGCAGCCGTGTGATCCCGATCGAGTCAATTCTCGCGATGACGCTTTCGAGAGTTTCGTCAGTCGGCTCCTCGAGGCCTGTCGAGGACGAGACGCGGTTGAGCGAGACGAGAGCGGTGGGCTGCGGGTAAAGGGTCGAAATGCCCCGGGGGAACCGATAACTACAGCCCTTGCCGGCGAATCTTTCCCTCGGGAGAGATTCTCGCGAGAGGAGGACCGGAGTCATAAGAGCCGGGAGGAGGACCGGGACAAAGAAGGAGGAAAGAGAGAGAAACAGGAAAGGCGAGAAAGAGAGAAGGAGACGGCAAGTCCGAAGGGGGAAGCGATAGAAAGGATGAAAGAGACAGGGAGAGCCGGGGACAAATAAAGAATTGGTACTCTCTCTGAACGGATTGGATTCGCCCGGGCTCGAGTCACATCCGATTGTGATAGCGGGTTGAAAGCGAATCGAAAAGGAGGTTGAAAGCGCCGACGGCGACGACAGCGGTGGCGACGGTCACGGCGACGGTGATGGTGGGTAGTGGTTGGGATCGGAGCTTTCGAGACGTGCCGATTGAATTAAGCAGCCACACCTGTCGACCGCAGATATTTTCATTGGCGGCATGCTAATTGCCAATTAAGCTGTACCGATTCACAGCCGATCCCGCCCGAACATCCACTTTACATTTACGGTTCTCTCTTCCGCGGCCCGCGCCGACAAGAGCGAGAGAGACCCGGCGAAGGGTAATGTTTACCCGTCGCGTTTAATTTAAAACGAGCACCGCCAAGACACAAGAGAGTGTCATAATAAGCATCGAGCTAATATCACGATGTGCTTGTGGACGTACCGAAATGCATTTAGTGTCTTATTTGAAGCTCGAATATGCGTATCTAGTTTTTACGTACTAACAAATGATTTTTATTTTATTTATATGTTCTTTTTATTTCTTACTTTCCAGCAACGTGCAGGTTTTTCTTTTGTGTTCGGGTATAATTCGGGGAAAGTTGGGAGATCGCGCGTTATAGAACGGCGTGTCGCTTTGGTAAAAATAAGACTCTGTTTTTTTAACTATTTTATCATTAAGATTATCAGTACTAACATTACTCGCGGGAGAATAAAATTGTTCGGCGTGTATCGCACGTGCTGAATATTCTCAGCAATACCGTAAGCAGTGAATTTATCTTCCACGCTTAAACTGATCCCTGAGTTCCAGTAATGTTATTGTAAATTCGGTTTACAATAATTTACAATAATATTACTATACACATTACATACGTTACCGATAATATTACTTCGTTTGGTTAGGCCGAGAGAGAGAGAACAGCCCTACTTAATATTACTATTTTCTATTATTATGTTCGAGAAACGATGTTGAAGTTGCATTCAACCCACATCGATGTAGCAACATTTCCGAACGGCGTTACGTCTCTCACGAGATGGAATTTCCGTTTTCAACTGTAGAATCACGTGGAAACTTGCCACCGACCGACGTTTCCTCGCAATAATCCGAGTATTTTAACTTTCAACTTGACGGGACAAAGTTAAAATTCCAATCTGCGAGCGGAAGGCACAGAATACGTCCTTGCGAGAGCAGCACGTACCCGGAAACTTCCTCGGGGCGCAATGACTGCGAATTACGTAATACTCGTCAAAATGTTACCGAGGTAAAAGCTATTTCCGCTGGATGCGGTCGTTACAAGAGCGGACGCACAGTGCGAAAATCCGCGTCTGGGCCGCTGGGAATATTCGACATTACCCGATAATATATGTATCGTTGGGAGCGCGCATTACTACCGGCTTCCTGGAGTATCTGTTAAAGTACATCCGAACGCAGAAGAGCAACATACCCTTTCCGTGGGGAATCACCATTTATTAATCACGACATAATGAATGAAAAGCTATCTTGATGAGGAGGGCACATCATCGCATACTTACGAAAATTAAGCTCTCTCTCTCTCTCTCTCTCTCTCTCTCTCTCTCTCTCTCTCTTTCTCTCTCTCTCTTATAAATCGTTACTTTACACCGTCAAGAAACGGGTCTGTGCTAATATTAAATCGCATATCGACTAAACTTGGAAATCCGTGGGCACAAAAATACGAAATATACACAGTATCGACTTTCAATGTCGTGACTTCTAAAATATGAAAGGCATGCATTTGCGTTGCGCAATGTGGGTCAGCCTATTCATCTCTTACCGTTTACGTCACAAGACGCAAAAATATTTAACATTTTACCCAAGACGCTCATTCCGGTGTATCTTTGAACATCGTAGTCGTAGGAAATAGAACGAATGCCGATAATTCTTAATTTCTAATCACCTTTTCGTGGACTCCCCGATATTATCCTATTTTCTCGCATTTTCCGTCTTTTTTCGGCCGACCCACGACATTTGACCGAAACGGGAATAGCGGCTGTTATTCCATTTTCATCATATGATTTTCGCGTCTTCGCTCCGCGCTAAGTTCGTCGCACTCGCGTTTAGACCCGGACGGAAATAGCCGCAACCGGTCACATCGAACGTCAGCCAATTTGTCTGGCCAATGCGCCGAGCTGGCCGAAGTCGCGATGGTTAGATACAGGCGGCCCCGAGGAGTCCGCATTATCGATAATCTCGAATCAGAGCTACAACTTCCATCGACTGACTGGGCCGAGCGAGCGAACGCGCGCGCGCGCGCCGCATGCGCCCTTCGAAGCCGGTATTGTCTCTTCTGTGACACACGGCCCTAATTAATTTCACGTAGTTCATTAACAACCTCCGGGGCGCGCAGTGCTTAACGATGTTTTGGCGTCTCCGTGTATCGAGAGCCGCGCAATATTCCCCGAGCGAGCGAAAACTTCGTTCTCCGCTCGCTGATTAGCGGCGTGCAAATGATTGCGGATGCCGCACACGCGGTGTCTCCGTGTGTCGTAGCGGCCGGTGTTAACGCGCACGGTGCGATGTTTCATGACTATGAGATGCGCTAGAGGATACTCGCGCTTGCTCTGGGTGACGATCGAAAAACACGCATAGAAAATTTTCTGAGATCCGATCGGAATCTACTCCGATTTCCCCCCGAAAATGGATCGGATTCTGATTGGGAAATCGATGGAGATTCGGATTAGAGGTGTTTGAAAAGTGCCATTCTAAATGGAAAACAAATTACATTTACTCTGCTCAACGTTTTCCCAAAGTTCTCTTGCGATTGGATTGAGAATGAAGTCCCTAATCGATATCGCAATATGTTACACTTATTTGGGATAAGTTTGGGTAATCTGATTAGAATTTATGCCATACTTGGGGATGTTCGGCAAATTTTCGTAAAGGCAGTTTAACCAGGACCGACGAAAAAGACGGGAAAAATGGAAAAAATGAATTTTGTAGGTAGGAAGATAAAAATAATTTTATTTTTTATTACTTTCAAATGCCAGAGATTCAAATTGGCCAGCTTGAGTATTTATGCTTTTTAAGTATTTATATGTTTGTAAAATACGCGTGAATATTCAAATCTTTTCAGGCGGTTTGTTCAAACACATAAAATAGAAGTCTGAAAAAAGAAAACTTCGGGAAAATGTTGGACAGAGGAAATGAAATCTGTCTAGTCTCCCGCATAAAAGATATTGGATCGAATTGGGATCTATTCCGACTAACCAACCGAATAAAGTAGCAATTCTAAATGGGGAACCCTGAAAAATTTCACTTACTCTGCCCAATGTTTCTCTAAAGTTAAAATTCTTATAATTGGGATAAGAATGGGATTCCTAATTGATATCGCATAAGTTTGGATAATCTGATTAGAATCTATGCTATGCTTGAGAATGTTTGAAAAATTTCTCCTGTTAACTCCTGTTAATTCTTTTGTTAACAAATTTACGCGAAGAAGAGAGGAACTTCACTCACTGAGTGACGAGATTATTTCTCTCATCGAGTTCGCGACTGTAACAACGAGACGTTCGCGACATCTCGAAATCGATTTCGAAATGATCGAGTCCGACAATTCGTTTCACCGCCCCGATTGATCGGACTCGGTTGACCCGAGGTAATTGACACCGATCCCCGCCGATCGTATTTCGTTGCAGCGGCATTCGCGTCGATTCGCGACATTTCGAAAAGATCTAAAGACACCTCTCACCCTCGTTACTGTGTAAACTTCGATGCTCTTTGAAACAAAATCCAGTTTCGAAGTAGCAACAGTGGATAAGAACCTCGTTCCGAGGGCTATCGACTGGCGTGCTTTGAAATCAAATGCCACGTTGAAATGACCGACCGTTCTGTGCAAGCTCGCAGGCTTGCGCTCTCTCTCTCTCCCCCCTCTCTTTCATTTCCTCCTTCGCTTTCTGTTCGATGAACGAAAAATAAGCGAAGAATCGAGCCGGAATTCGCACTGCTTGGAAAAGATTCTTGCCACGTCGACCCGGAGCACTTCCAGCGTCACCGCTCGCGAGCTTGCCGAGGACGAATTCCCGACAGATGTTACCACGGTTGCTTACGCTCCGCTCGCGGGACTTAATATAACCGAAATTAACCACGGCGAGCGCCTTTTTTCTCAGTCTTATTTTCCCATACACATCCCTCTCTCTCTCTCTCTCTTTCGTTCTTTTGCTCATCACCGTGCGCCACGGAATTATAACGCGCGGGAGCATTCGAAAGCCGTGCGCGCGACGCGCGAAATTATTATTTTTTAAATTATACTCGTCCACATCGAGCTTTCTCTCTCTCTCTCTCTTTCGCGTCTCTCCGCGGGGCGAGGCGTGGCTGGAAGTGTACGCGCGTGTTGCAGCGTAATTCCATTAATTCTTTCAATACGCGCCCCATCGTTTTCTTTTAGAGAGACGCTTTAATTGCGCCCGTACTTAGTCGTGCGCTTAAAAATACGGGGATGTCGCGAGATCACAACGGAAGCAGATGTGCGCGCGAACAAACGAGACAGAGGGAGGGAGAGAGAAAGAGAGAGAGAGAGTGAAAGAGGGAGGGAGAAAGAGAGGGTAATTGGTGGACGCGCTCGATATTTTTCATCGTCGGCCTCGCGTTTTTTCTCGAGCTTATGTGATTAATTAACGAGATTTCCCAATATACCAAGACTGTTTTACAGCGTAACGTGCGATAGATATCAGAGCAAAATAAGAGCGCGCGCGTGTTTTCGCGATGCGATGGTCGATACGAAGTGGGTCATATAATTCCGATTGAAATCTTCAATGAATACAAAACCGTGACCCTTTCATCTCGACGCGCGATATTATTCCGACCACTGTCGATACAATTCCGCGGGCTGCCCTCTCATTCACGATTCATGCTGTTATTACTATTAACTATTAATATAGTAGCGAGCACGTCCGTAACCGGCCCCGCAAACAATTGGAAATATGAAGCGACTCAGCGCGAGGAAAGGAAAATGAAATAATAATCAGTATTTATCGACATCCCCGACGACGTTACGTATTCATGGAGTTACGAAATTCGGCCTATATATATAGCGGTTATGCGATTAGCATAATGATTAAAGCGCGAAGCGGCTAACAACTGGGGAAGACAGGGCGCGGCGGCGGCGGTCCCCTCCCGTTCCACGTTTTGTGGAACTAAAGCGTTGTAAACTGGAGTAGGTCGAGCAACAGAGAGCTCTAAAGCCGAGCGCTGGGATAAGAACAAGGTTGGCGCGAGTTAAACGCAATTAAATCACCGAGTGCAAAAATAAAAATCAGAAAGCGGATCTTCAACGGACGGCGATCGACGACGATATTAATTAAGCGCGATTACGTAGCGCGCGTTTGTATCACACGGACAGCTACACTGAGAATCCATTTCGTTGAATCAACTAAATTCTCGCTTGACTACGGGCAAACCAATTTTTTGGTTGTAACAACCAAAGTTTGGTCGTCTAAACCGAAGGTTTGGCTCTCTGAAGTTTCAGAGGTTGCGAAGAAAGAACCAAACGTTTGGCTCAGAGAACTAAACCTTGGTTCTTATGACCAAAAAATTTGTTCGCCATAGTCAAACAGGAATTTCGATGATTCAACTAACATGGATTTCTCAGTGTAACTACTTTTTTTTTCCGTGATGAAAGGACCTTCTTAAATCTCGTCCTAATTTCCACATATTACGTCGAGCGTTTACATTTCTATACGGTCCAAACGAGCTTGCTTCTACAGGGCTCAGATACGAGTGCGGGGGGGAAAATTGTTGCGTTCCTTTCCAGTCCCTGTTTTAAACCACCCGGGCTGCCGCTCGTAATGTCTTCCGGCGCTTTTTGCCGCATTGCAAAATACACCCGGCATTTAGTCCGACATATCTGTGCGACGTTTGAATCAACAGCTCGTGCTGTCGTTGTCGTGTGACCCGGCTGGCTTTTCGTTGGAGGAGACGGAAGCTGCGAGATACGCCTTTCCGAGAGATCGAAGCCCGACACTCAGCTGCCACGTCGGTGGGTTCCTTGACAGAACACAGCAGTTGGCAACTAGGGCTTCCGGTTGAGCGAAAGCGCACACCGAACTAGCGCGCGTGCTAATTCACTCTCGGTGTCGCCGCCGCTGTCATCCCCTCCTCGCATAAGCGCCGCGACCTCAACTGTTTGAACTTGCTATTTGCATCCGAACGGCAAATAAAAAGTTTCGCGAACAGAATGTGTAGCGATGACGGACAGAAAGGGACGGAGAATAGGATAGACGCGGCGCTTCTCAAGTGGAAAAGCGCGACGACGTGGATGACGTGGAGCGACGTAATGTTTCGGTTATGCGACGTTTATTTTATCGAGTTGCTCTTGCAAGCTCGATCTATGGACGACTCGTTGATATACAGTCGCGCTTCGTAAAGTCGTCGTCTCTCGTGCGATTTGCCAGACACGCGAGCGAACGAGCGAGCGACCGGACGCGAGACGGCGTAACAGATAAAAAGAAGAGTAAAAAAAAAAGGGAAGGAGGAGGGGGAAGGAAAAGGAAATAATTTGACGATTTCCCGGATGATTCGCAGGAGGAAAGATCGGAAAATCGAACCGTCAGCACAGTGGAGTTCGAGCCGGGCGTGGAGGATCATGGGAAATCTATCACCTGCCGAGCGGAGAATCCAAACGTGACCGGACTCTTCGTCGAGAAGTCCTGGAAGATCGACGTCGTGTGTGAGTACACGTTACATTTTTCCTTAACGTTCCAATTTCTCGCGGACCGTAAACTCGCTCACGACCGACAGATCGCGAAACTGATCGCGGCAAATCGAATACGACAACATGACGAATGGGGCCACATTACGCTGTTTATCGATTCCAAGCTTCCTCCCAGCTCTCCCCCGCCCTCTCTCTTTCTCCTCGACTTTATTCACGTGATCATAACGATCGCGCGCGCGTCATAAAAAAAATGGAAAAATAAAAAATTGCCCGGCAGCCACCGTCCTCCATCTCATCTTCATTCGGGTTCTCGAATCGGCCGATTTTACGAGCCTTTTCATTCCGCGCGCGACGCGCGTCTCCCACGTTTACGCATCGTTCCCTATTTTTTTATCCCCACGCTCTCTCTCTCTCTCTCTCTCTCCCCTTTTTACAGTGTCAATAAAAAGATCTCCGCGAGATTTCCCATAAATTACAGCCAAAATATTCGGCGCCGATACCTCCCCGTGCGTCTTCCGCTGGCGCTCTTGATCCGGATCGCTATAAAAGGAAGACACACGCGCGGACAGGGGGAAGAGACGCGCCATATATACTCAATGATATAAGTGACACGGGTCGTCCATAAATCTGGCGTTTACTTAAAACCACTTGCCGCTTACGGGTTATGTTTAGACACTGCCACTTTCGATCTGTCCTGTTCTATCACCGTACTCTCTCTCTCTCTCTCTCTCTCTTCCTCCGTGTATCCGCAATTCTACGAAGCCACGAGAGAGAGTCGCTAACCGCGCGTCTCTCATCTCGAGTCGGATTATTACGCTCAAAGTGAAGGCGCCTCATTTCCACGGGAAAACGCCTCTCCTCTTTTCTTCTCTCTTTCTTTCTTCCCTCCCGTTATTTATTACGACCGCGACGTAGTAGGAATGTTGTACGTAACCGGCGCGACATCGTGCGCACGTCACGAGAGAGCGCAGGTTTACCGAGGCGTCCGTGAAATTTATTATCGCGTAACTACCCTCATCCGGCCTCGTAAACTTTACGTTCGACCTGTCGAGAGTTACGGGCACGCTTCTCGGCGCATATTAAAACGAGAGGAGACAACAGTCGAGAGGTGGAAAGAGAGGACTCGAACGCGCCCGCGAACAACCACGATCCACCCCTAACCCATCTCCGACCCGAGAGCGCGTCCTCTCCTCCAAATGAACTGCGTTCGCGATATCGTACGAAACGCGAGGAAGAGAGTCAGAGAGAGAGAGAGAGAGAGAGAGAGAGATAGAGAGAGACAATTTTCGACACGCGCGAACGTCTATACATTTTATATAGTCCGATGGTGCGGAAAATAATCGCGAAGCGTATCTCGCGCTGCTATATTTCACGTTGTTATAATTACGCGGCGCTCGGAGCTGAATAATCCCCGCGGCGACCGGGCACGATAACGCTTAGACAACGATTATAAATTTCATACAAGTCGTAAAGGCTAGACATCCGTCGGACGTGATTACCCACCCACCTACGCGCACGAGCGGGAAGAAATAATAATGACGCTTTTATCGCCACGCGACCATTATCGCGCGGACGTAAAGCGGATTTAACACGCGGGCGGATCTCTCAAGTTGCGGACAGACCTCCTCCTCGCGCCGAGCTTCCGCGTTCTCGCGATAAAACCAACGGTTCAAGACGGGCCCGCGCGACTCGTAATCTCCAAAGTTTTCCGCGCGAGCGTCGTCCGTGTCGAGGCGCCTTTAATCTGCGACCAGCAGGCTTTCTCTCTCTCTCTCTCTCTCTCTCTCTCTCTTTCTTTCTCGCGATGTCTGATATTGCAACTAAGTAATAACAGCCGCGAACGGCCGAAATTTGAACCGTTATGTTACTTATCGCGGAAAGAACAAAGCAGAGAAGAGAGAGAGAGAGAGAGAGATTTGCTAGAATTACGTACGTGCGGATAATACGGTCTATTTTTCAAGGCTGAAGAGAAGTAATTTGAATTTTTAATGTTTTTTCCAATTCAATTTAATCCTCAATTTTCGACTCCCCGTCCTACTTAATTTAATTTTCCGCAAACTTGAAACTTAATCTTTGTAACGTACGCGGTAGAAAATTTTGTGTTAAATTCACACATTTTATATGTTCCAAACGGTCCACACAAATATCTGTGTTAATTTAACACCAAGTGAATATGTTGAAAAGCAGCACAAATATTACATGAAAACATGAGCATAAAATTATGTAATATCCATTAACCGACACTGAAATAGAAAATGTTATTTTAAAACACTTACGTATATTGAATATCGATCTAACACAGAATCTATTTAAGATAACGTAAACACAATATGTTAACACACGGGTATGTTAAATATTTAACACAAAAATGTTCACAAGGATCGATTTTAACGCAGGTACGAAAATGTTTTCTAAATGTGTATACTCTATCAGTTTCGAGATTAATTTTCGAAGGCGGTTCGGAAAGCCGTTCAATGATAACGGCACGCTGGATCGACCGTTTCTCGATAGCATAGCGGCGGAACGCCGTGACGTAAATCCACGAGCGCCGACACAGATAAGCCCGATAGAGTAAAAAGCATCTTTACGATGCGCGAGGCGTCGTATATTGCTGCACGTTCATTTTAATTGCACGACACGTATAAATAACGGAGGAGGAAAGAGAGCGCGACGTGAACAGAGGATCGCGCGCGCGCACCGTTCAGATATTTTTTCAATTTTGCGGAGGCGTGCCGTTACTTCGGCGGCGATAAATTCCTCGATTCCGTACGGTTTATCGTTCGTTCTCATCTGTCCGGTTGCGTCCGTTGCACCTGCACATCTGGCAAAAATATAGCGGCAATGGCAAACAGGAAATACATAAGGAGCGGAGCGAGCGGGCGAGCGCGCACGGGCGCGCGGCGGAATTCGCGAAACGAGAAAAACTGCAGAATACGGGAAATGATGTCATGTCACGTATTCGATTACGCTGACCGTTCTGCGCGCTACCGCTCGAAATTACACCACTTCGAAAGACCGTATCCGCAGTCCGTATCGGCAACCTCGTCTTTGCCGTCAACCGGCATCCTCGACCGACGGCGGTTGGCTGCGCGATTCGCGAGACAACGAGAGGGAAAATTGAGTAAAGGGGAAGAAATTTGTCACGACGTCGAATCAAGCGAAAAAGAAAGAGAATAAAGAGAGAAAGAGAGAGAGAGAGAGAGAGAGAGAGAAATATCTCTATTAATATCGTAAAATATTATAGATTTAAGCTCTCTTTTTTCCTCCCTCTCTCGAGGGTGCTGAGGCACATATACGCGCGCACACACTGTAAGAAGATTTCAATGTTTTATGCTTGCAGATCCGCCGATAGTATCGTTAAACCTCGGATCAACCTTAAGCCCGGAAGACATCAAGGAAGGGGATGACGTGTACTTTGAGTGTCATATTAGAGCCAATCCACCCTGGTCTAAGCTCATCTGGATACACGACGTAAGAATTTTATAAATGCACTCATGCACAAGCCGCAAACTCGACATTGCGCTCTTCCTATTCTTTTTATGACCGTCGCGTCGTGACCCCGAAAAATGCGCGAGCGTACGACTGCGTAAAAACTCACGTAGCGGGGAACCCGTGTGTGTAAAGAGACTCGCTTTCACCGGTAACTTCGTCGATATACGTGACCCTCTTGCCTTGCGTAATGCCTCGTACATCAAGCAGAACCGAGTAGAACTTTAAATCCTTCATTTGCATAATATATGAGTCGCGCTATACGTCGCGATCAATCTCTGTGCGACGATATCGACGATATCGACGCACGAGGCGACATCGCCGTTTTCGACGACGAAAACCCACGAGGCGGATCTTCGTGTGTTATTACATATTATTCGCGTGTATAGGAAATCCGGCAAACGATAAAATCTTATGAGAACTTCCGTGACAACTAAGGATCTAAACCAATTCTAGTCTCGCATCGAAATTAATTAATTTCTCTTCGCGATTTCCTCAAAGCAACGATGGTATTTTGTTACAATCAGTGTCAAGATATTGAAAACATATGCAATCTTGTAGCAAGCGTTTAAATTGATCGATTAGATGATTGTCAGAATGTGGTCGGCTCTCTAAATTACCTGCAGTGAAACGTCACTCCGAATGAATGAGAATTCACTCCAAGAAGTTCACTCCGAGTGAAAATACTCGGAATGAAGTGACATTTCACATATCAGGATGGATCGAGCGTCTTCTATGCGATTTCGTAATTTCACATTTGTTACGGTTACACGTATTCGGGCTTGTTACACAATTCCGGGCGCGAAAGTGCGCAACAAGCATAAAACGCGTATCAAAGCGTAAGTAATGTTAGTTAGTCCCGGCTCATACAAGGTAGTTGCCTCGGGAGACTGCTGTGCCTGCCCGTCCGCTTATTCTAGACGGTACTACTTGAATTTCGGAACGCCGCCCCGCCGCCGTCGCGCATTGTGTATACACTTACCGCGCGCTGCAATTGCAGCGGAGTCGGAAGTTAAAGGAACGCTCCCAAGGCGTATTCGAGACTATCAGCGACAAACTTTGTTGGCCTCTGTATCGGTGGCAGCCACGGACGCGCACTTCCTGAATTCTAATCGTCCCGATCACCGGTTACCGGCTTCAGAATCGCGCGTACACGTGCGCGGCACAACGACGACGACGGCAACGAGAACGACGGGGAAGACGACGACCACGGCGAAGCGCGATTACGAATAGCCGTGCATTAATTTCCGACGTCGGGACCATCCGATAACTTCCGTTAAGTACGTTAACGACGCGCGAACAATCCGCGACAGACACCCGAGGAACTAATAATCGCCATTAAAATCTCAAATACACCGAGAAACCGGCAATTTTCAATTAAGAGGAAATTAATAATTGAACTTGAATAATTATATAAGCTGCACGGCAGCTGTGTGGAATTCTCATACGAATTTCTTGTATCTTTAATAGAGCTTCGTATCCTAATTTTAATACTTTCCCGACGAATTACAATTTTTCAAAAGATTCAGCAACTCAAAAGAACGATTTAAAAAATATATACCGTATTTTTATCTGCCACTCCGATGGTCGAAATTGGCCTATTTCACTCATCGTCCTTTGTACAAAATGGGACAAAGAAATGAACGGACGATTTTAAAAGACCCGTTTTTAGCCTTGAAAGCAATAATAGCACGTTGTTTATAGCTCCACTGCTTCATGATAATTAAATGGAATATTATTGATGATAAATTAATTAGCACACATATTCACTAACTTAACGTAGATCTGTCCTAATAGCAGTGGAGTAAATAGATTGAAAAATTCGCCCGTTTCTTTGCCGCAGTCTGTATTTCATATCAACTTGGCGCGAGACACTACGGTGTCTCTTAATACACGATAGATCGAAACATAAATATATTATATATTGGATGTTTAATTAAAGAAGAATATAACAGGCAATATAAAAACATATAATATAACAGCTTTATTTACCGACTATATTCTACTTTGTCGAAACTACACGCGTATATATCTTGCGCTTCAAGCGAGCTACTAAAACTGCAATTCCAATTTTTACAATCGCTTCGTAATTCACTACTTCACGATGATTTATCCATATATCTCCTTAGAATTGCAGTATTAGTTTCCCTCTTTTTTTCGCACGGAACACGTTCGACGAATATTTTGTTCCGCGATCCGATCGTAATTTCGCTCACGCGTACCTACGTTTCCCTAGCGCGAGAATCGATTTCGTTTCCGAGCCACCGTATGGCGGCGCATCTACTTAGACTCTAATAATATATTAATCCGACGGTTATAACCGTCCGTCAGAAGATTGTGGTACACATGCTGTAATTATATTACCATCGGTTACGCCGGGGCCGGGGGAATCTTGTAGGAGCGCCGCGCGCGCGGTGCATTAGCTTCTCCCCCGGTCTTTTCCGGGATCAGCCCCGGCGGCCTCATATCCCTTCCGTGTTCCGTCGCTCACTTTAACCTCGGCTCATACCTCGCCTCCCTTCTCTCTACATCTTTTCGTTTCGTCGCACGACCTTTCGCCGGATATACGTCGCAAAGGGCTGCAGGAAACGGGCTAACGGCGGGCGAGAGCAGCAGCTGCTACCGCGTAAGAGATTTCCCTCGAAATTGCATCTTAAAAATATGATCCGACTTCATTCCGGAGGAGGAAGGGGAGGGAAAGCGGTCCGACTATCACGGTGTCACCCTCTCCCTCCCTCCATGCCGTTTCTGCCACCCGTTCGGCGTACATCCGCGACTTCCTCTCCTCGCTTACGGATTGCCCTCTGGTCGCTCGCGAGCGAAGCGATCCGCTTCCGGTCCGCTAAACTTCTCTCGGTCTTTGTATCTGCCTTTAAACGTCGGATAGATTATACCGAGAACCCATTTAGTTGAATCAACGAAATTCTTGTTTGACTATGGGGAAACATATTTTTTGGTTGTAATAACGAATGTTTGATTGCCTAAATCGAAGGTTTGGTTCTCTGAAGTTTCAGAGGTTGCAAAAAACCAAACCTTTGCTTCGGAGAATTAAACTTTCGTTCTTACAACCGAAAAATTTGTTTTCGCCCATAGTCAAACAAGAATTTCGTTGACTCAACTAAATGGGTTTCTCGGTATACTACTAGACTCGATTCGATTCGCGGCTAACATCATAAAGCGAGAAGCTCGAGGCTACGCGCGAAGACCTCAGCCGGTCCTCCGGTCAGTCTGGCCGTAATTCTTTTGATAATGATCGATTTGCATGGGACTGACGGAAGTCGAATACTTCTCGCAATTGCATTTGAATGTTCAATCAGAATTGTGTTCCAAAATTTGCCGCCAGGGCTGAAAATGTTCATGTTATACTGTAGATTTTCAGCACTGGTGAATATTGAAACGCAACATTAATATCGGCGTTGCAAGGATTTGTAAGGACGATGAGGTGATGATAAAAAAATTCCCGGAATATATATACCCTCTTATTTTTTGTAATTTTTTCCCTAAATACCGCGAATGTTTGCTTTTTAAATACGAAATTGAGAAACGCTCCCCGAAGTGTAAATATATGCGTCTCAGCGAGTTTTCTATAAACGGGGGAGGGGAAGGAGAACGTCGTCGATCTCTCCATAATGCCCTATTTCCATTTATTCTCTGTTACTCGTCGGTTTGCCGAACCTCTCCCGAACGCGTTCACCTTTAAGCGTGTCATTGGGGTGGATTTTCACGTCCGCGCTCGGTACACCAGAGGAACGTTTCATTCGGCAACGCCGGGTCCCTTTCACTCATCCGGAAAGGTTTGCCTAGGAATTACAAGGGCCGTTGGCACGTACTATCTGCCAATCAATCCCGGGCTAGCAATCGGGCCGGGGATCCAGCACCATCGGGTCTTAGAAAAGCGTTTCGAGCTGCCCCAGCAGCAGTAACCTTTTGAGTGGCGATCGTAAAGAGGAGAAAAGAATCATGAACGCGGCGAGAGGGCGGTGCGAAGGGTGAGGAGGAGGCGAAGAAAGTGGGAAGGAAACGATGCGCGAGCGAGGGACCGGAAGGAATTAGAAAGTGGAAAAGAAACGGGAATAACGGCGGGAGAAGAATAAGGGGGAAAAAAGGAGGAGGAAATCGAGAAGGCGAAAAAAGAAATGTGGGGTTGCCGACATAATAGAGTGCAGTGATTAAGTCGGTTCTATCATTCACGGGGACAATAGAGAAGTTCTGTAGCTACTTGCAGCATCGACGAGCCAATCGGCCGGCCGGTTTAGACGCGGAGAGCATGAGAGAGAGAAAGAGACGCACACACAGAGTCCCTGAAAGGATTCCCTCAACTCTTCATCTTTTCTCGCAAAGTGGATTGACCGAGCGTACTGCCGGGAAGATCTCATTAATATCCTTGAGGAAAACGCAGCGGCAAGATAAAAAATTTATCTCATATACGTCTCGTTCGCGTGCCTATCTATACGTCTTTTCTCGAGATCGCACTGCACAAAAGATACTCTCAATCGAGGAAATAACGGGGTAGAGATGAGCGAATTATTCGAGTCCGAATCCTTATGATTCGGATTCATATAACTCGAAAATTTCAAATCGAGAAAGTTCGAGTATGAATCGCGCACTCTAGCATTGACGAAGTATTACTAAAGACGTCCAGCCTTACGAGGATTAGCGTGACTTCAACAATTCGTTGTGTAAGATCCTCTAAAAAAGTATGAAAATCAGTTGAACGGTCGATAATGTCAATGCTTTTCGACGTACTTTAGTAATTGATTTATCATCTTTCGTCTGACTGTTTCAATTACTGCTGTTCTAAGTAAAATATATTTCATCGGTATCGACGTATCTTATTTTCGAAATATTTAAATAAACATATCTTATTTTTTTAAATAAGTTGTTATCACAAGATCGATGTTATCTCTCTCATACCGAAGTTTCCTCTCACTATCCTCGTATTGAATTCAACGATTATGTTGTTAATGAAAATTCACGTTTCA